ATACAAGAACAAGATTATACATCCTAAAAGTTTAAATGATTAACTAACAAAATAAATACGCAGTTACACCTGAAGGTTTTGCATAGGAAACTGATTAAATTCAACCATTATTCAACAATAACGTATTGTATTACTTTCTTACAGTAAGCAATCATGGTGGATGAAGTGATACCGCCTGCAGCTTTAAAAACAAATAAAAACCCTTAGGACTAAGTATGTGGTTGCTTATCTAAAATAGTTCCAAAAATAAACCTGTTAATATTTAACTCCTCCTGCCTTTGACTGTGGATGAACAGCCATCTACAGCTTTATAGTGTACCCTTTTATGTATGGGATATATAAATTCATCTAAAAGGCTGGAACAGTCTTCCAGTAATGCAATTTATATTCCATTAAGTCTATTATTACCACAGTCTGCTCGCAGAAGTCGACGCTGAGGACCTTTGGGTTGCTCGGAGGCCATTTGACCCCGTGGAGGGCAGCTCTGGTGGCGACAGCCTCCTCTGCCGTGGCGTACTACGAGGACAGGGGAAGAAGAAAGTTATCAGGCTAAAAACAGTCCTGGTAAAAGTGTCACATCTCAACCAACACAGTACAAAAATAAGATCAGGAACAGATGGAGCCAGACGGATGAGAACAGAGATGTTTCCTGAGGTAGAATGACAACAATCACACAAATGCTTCTTATTCATCCTGGAGATCAAATATGTTGTCCTGCAAAAACAGACTGTATTTACTGAGGGGTTTTATATCAATACTGCAGCAGAAAATCCACCTCTTATAATACGCCTACTCGCAGGTACTGTGTGGTCAAAGCGGAACAAAACTAGTTAAAAATAGTTCAGCATTTGGTAAAAAGGACAACATTCTTGAATTGGGCCGGTTTTGGCAGCTATTCTGAGAGCTAACAAATGGCCTCAAGTAGCTGGATAACACTTCCAGTTAACAACATGCCGGGTGGACACGAGGCTTCGCACTCTCAGCACAATATGATGATAGTGTTTATGTGTTGGTACTCACTGTGACAAAGCAGTGAGACTTGATCTTGTCGATCCAGAAGCCGTCTTCCACCACGCTGCCCGTCCTGTTCAGCAGCTCTTTGAGTTGGCCCAGGGTGAAGGGTCGTACCTGTGGGATACACACGGGGCAACCAGTCAACTCATTTTCAGTCAGAGTGAAACTGTGGAAGTCTTTGGGTGAAGGCCTTTAATTGTTGCTCAGATATTCAATTTTTTAAAAATGTATAGAGATAAATTAATGGGACATTATGATTGTTAAGTTAATTGTCATTGCACATATAATTATGTGATATGTGACAAGAAAAAAGGCCATCTTTATTTATGTTAATATTAGGAAATGGGCAGGTGTTTCTTATACACTTGAAATGACCAAAATTAAAATATTATTATATCTGAACATGTCCTGAATTAATATGAATGTTGCCTAGCACCAACAACACTTCATGACACGACAGACAACAGTGACTGAAATGGTCAGAGTTCAGAGCAAGAGCGCTTTTAGTTTAAGTGACGACATGGTCTTTCCTCTGGCGCCTCCCTCAGGCCAAACCTCACGTGTTTTCAAAGAAAAGCAAAGTTGTTTCTGCATTTTAAATCCATCAGTTTGGTTTTCTGCTCCACAAAGTGGTGATGAGCATTAGAGTCACGCAGCTGCTCTACAGCATCATCTGAGAGTCTTCTGTTTGGATTCTGTGTTACTGCAGCCTGAGAGCTCCCGTTTTTAGAGATTAGTGAGACTGGGTGGCATTAGAAATCTGGTAGTCTTTGATCCATGTGTAACTTTAAAGTCTTGCTGCTATGACGCAAGTAAAAAGAAATCTGTAAATGCTAGTCATTAAATGTGTAATGTCTAGTCTTGTCACAGTCTGTTTAGTCATGCAGTGCGCCCCTAACCTAAGGTGATGCTTGACTACAGCCATAATACCTGGGTAAGTGTTTCTGACTCTAATTATGGGAATGATGGTGATGTGGTCGCCACTGGCATCACCACAATATGCCTCATTCATGAAAAACTTATAGGGTACAGGATTTTTCTGTACAATCATTTTCCAGACATAGTTTTAGTTCGTGAGGAAAGTTTAGGGCTCCAACGAGACCAAAAAACAAGAATATAATGAGATCTTTTTTAATGAATTCATTTTGACTTCCCAGCATGGTTTAAACACAAGTTCCTCACCGGAAGAAAAAACACGTTTCACTGTACTGTCTTTACTTTGTGTTTGCACTGAGTTACAAACTCACCAGATTGGTCACATGAATGATGTTTGAGACTTTGCCGTGAGGCGGTGAGGGCTGTCTGTTCGTGCGGACGGGGTCATCAATGGTGACGGACACGCCAGACTTCTGCTGACTGATGGAGCGACGCACAAGACTGTCACTGGGGGTAACTGAGGGAAGGATGATAAAGAGGTGAGAAGAGTAGGATAGGTTAAAAAAACAGAAAGTACTGCCAGAGGGATGATGGATGAGAGAAGGCAGCAAAGACATTTGCACCCAACAATTTAGAGCAATTAAAAACCCACAAATGTTTCAAGGAGGCAGTTTTACCTTTCTTCGCCTCTCCTTCGAGCTTGACAGATGTCTGTGTTTCCGAGGCGTCCTCTGAAACACTGTTCTTCCTTTTGTCTCTGGAAGTCCTGCGTTGTTTTTCTTTCTCAGTTTTCTCCACCTCTTCCTCTTCATTTGTCTGTCCATTTTCCTGGCTGTCACCCGGGACGACCTTAGGGGAGGAATTACAGGTGCAAAAACAGTAATGTGACAGCGCACAACCACTGACAAAAGCACCATTTCTCGAGATTGGCTGTTCTTCAAACAGACTGTTCTATAATCAGTCGTAACTGGATGTGATGCAGTATGCCTCTTCTGACCTGTGTGACGGTGCGTCTGATCTTGAGGCCTTTGTCCTGGTCACCCCGGCTGGCGTCCAGGCTCTCCTCGTCCCCGGAGAGTTGCAGCTCCTCTGGGTGCAGCTCCACCACTGCCTCCTGGTTCACTTTGATGTCTGGGATCAAAGACTGCAGGACAGATAAGCACACAGGAGATGAAACAGAAAAAACAGGAACAACAGGAAGAGATAGGGAGAGAAATATTTGAATATTTTAACTGCATCTGTCAGCGGTTACACAGTAAGAAATGAGGGATAATGATTTTGTTTTCCCTTGGCCATAGTTATAAATAACGAGTGTCTGATTATTTGTTTAAAATCCCCACATTTCTCCCAGCTCACTCGTGATATTTTGGAACTCATTAAATTTCCCAGCTGAGTTTTAAAACGAACCGAGCTGGAAGGAACTTGTGTGATTTGGGGAATCTATAACCAAACCAATATTGATCAGAGTAAGAATATACATTTACAAAGCTTATTTTCTTTTCAGTTTTCACCCTGAAAAATAAAGTTCTCTTGAAGACTTGATTCCTTGACGTTTCACTTTTTGGCCTGAAAATGATCAATAAATATATCAGCTTCCATAAAGTAATGAGTGAATCATCACATTTGTTCTCCATATTTCCCCTTCATTTACGAACACCTGGTCCCGGTCCCTGTACCTTCAGTGAGTCAGTGGTGATACTGATGGACGGTTTCTTGGCAGTGACTGATGTGCTGGAGCCCCACCGCCTCTTCCTCCCTGCTGCAGTTCCTGTCTCAGCCTCTCCTACACCTCCATCTGTGGTGGCTGGGGACATCTTACTACCTGCAGAGGAGTCCAATAGATGTAGTTTATCTTTGAGAAGGGAGAAAATGCACTCCCAGATGACAAGATACTGCAAGCTCATAGTCTAAAAGAAGAAATAATTGTTAAATGGTTTACCCCTAAATAGTTTTGCCAAGGGTGGCAGTGACTAATTTACGTTTACATAGTCTATAAATGGTAGTGCAAGATTAAATCATTTCACAAACTATTTTCCAAAATTGGTTACTTAAAACATGTTGTTGCACGTTTGCTGTGGTTTTTTTTATTGGTAGCTATTCCAAGAGTGAAATGCCTTCTGCCACACAGAGCTTATGGGAAGTAAAGTATGCAGTGAAAAATAATAGGAACCATGCGGTAGATAAATATAGTGTGAGCTAAAGGTTATTTTGACCACAAGCATGGACAGGGTCCGTGCTGCGGCATACTGAAATCGCAGGAAATACAAATCCAGCACATTAATAAAGTGTTTTGTTTAATGTATCACTTTTAATCACAGTATTTCCACAACACTATGTTACTAAAGCATTTTGGTGTGAAAGGATTACACTGGTGTAAAAGAGAGTGGATTAATTTACTGAATTGATTTTTTGAGCTTATATATACTGTTTTATGGATGTTTTACACCCATCACTAATTTATTACAGCTAACAACACATATACTGTAGTTTTCCCTCACAAGCAGGTTGCAAATTAAACTGTTTTGTCCACTGACAAAATGGCTGATGAATGTTCAGATTTTAAAAGCCACTCAATAGATTCTTTTCCGGCTTGTGAGTGAAGCAAATCTACCAGCTACTTTGCATATTTTACCAGCATTTGTCTGGTCTGATGCCAATTTTGTGCCCTGTTAACAAGACTTTATGCACAGAATTAACTTTTTTGTACAAAGTCAGTATTTGACCATTTTCTGCTTGTTTTAGGTCTGAATGCTAAATGTAAAATGTCGGGTGTTTTCTTTTTCACTCTTGTTCCACTCATGTCTTCATGTACGATGAACGATGAAAGATGCAACTGTATACTCACTCGTCAGGGATATCTTGCGAGCAGCAAAAGCCTTAGGAGTGGTGCTCTGGAAAGAGAGAGAGACAGAAAGAACATACAGAAACCCCAGGGGTGCGGGGCAAGATGAGAACCAAGAGTTCAGACCCAAACAGGCAACAACAGAGAAGAGGTGAAAAAGGAAAAGTGGAGGAGGGGTCAGGGCGGGGGGTTAAAGTAACAGAGGCCTGCAGGCTCCAATTGTACCACATTATGGAGAGGGTTCTTGGTCGATACAGAGAGACTCCAGACACATTTCCGCCTTCCACCTCTGCTCAAAGATAAATCATTACGCTACTCCCTTTGTGAGTGGTGTGTGAGTGTGTGTGTGTGTGTGTGTGTGTGTGGGAGGTGGACGCAAAGCAAGTACATGATGTGCATTAGGACATGAGTAGGCCTGCGTGAAACTCGAACTGGGTCGTATCTGAGTGCGGTATGTTATTACAAAATAATGTCCATCAGAAAGCTCTGAGAATAAAAAAAGGAGACTAGTGTGTGTGTGTGTGTCTGAGGGATCTTCGTCACTTTACTATATTCATGTCCCATTTGTACTGGATTTATTTTCCCTACAGGAGGTGATTTCAATATTACCTGCACTGGTTAATAATTCACAATCTGTCTGACGACAATCTGTTTTACCTCCCAACTCTGTGATTATAACAGCACTAATTACTTCCTGTTTTGCAAATTTGCTGGTCCTTCCGTAATCTAAATCTAATCCAGAGACAGATTTTTTAAAAGTTTACCTCAGAGTTTTTATACATAAAGTTGTGTTTATTGTTACTGAGCTTCATTACCTCAGTACACAGTGTGACAACTGACCTAACAGACTCAATAACATCAGTCAACTCTTACAACAAAGCAAAAGTAACGAACATTGTAAGTTAGTTAAGTTTTGATATTGTCTAACAGGTGATTCTATCTTTGCTGGTCTATCTCAGTATAGCTGAATTCATTTGATGTGTATTGAGTTACATGTATTTAATACTGTTGCAGATACTAGTTTCTTTCTTACTGTAAACACAATGACTAATGGACATTCAGAAACAGACATTTAAGTAGTCTAAAACGGTCTGCATTACATTACTGCTAAATAATTACCGGTAAGCTTGTCAGTGGGCCATGTGACAATTGTCTGTTATCAAACCAGCTCCTGTAATTTGCTACCAGCGAAGACGTTGTCCAGAATGTCGGCTTTTATTCTGAATAAGGAGGGGAACTATTTTACTGGCCACATCCCCTGTAATGTTAATCTTGTCTTAAGGCACTTAAATCACAAATGTTGTCCTGTGGAGCAGAGGTGGAGGACAGTGTGCTGAAGACTCAAAGATCTGTCAGTATTAGTGCTGCAGTTTAAATTCACCTTAAATATTTTACCATATTTAACAACACACAACTGTAAACCAACAGTGTTTGTCAAAAGTACGATGAACGCTGTCATCTTGGTGTCAAAACATCCAATCAAAACTGCAGTACACGTGACAGTTCAAAAAAATTTGCACTAAATTACGAAGAGGGAAAGAATTAATTTCTCTTATTTACAAAAAAAAAAAAAAGATCTTGAGGAAAGAGAAAGCTTTTTTTTTTTCTAACACTTAATCCTTTAAAAATGGTATACATTTTAAATAGAGGAATAATCACAAGTCATGTCCTGGTACCATTTGACACCTGATTCCTTACTGGCTCGACTATGGCCCAACCGCACGACAGTGTGTACTGTATCTAGGCAACAAGGATCCAATCAGAGTAGGCAGAGGAGTGAGGGCGGGGCTCGATTTGAGTGTGCAGATCAGCCACCAGGCAGGAACTGATCACTGGACTGGACTTTTTTCTTGAATGGGTTTGGGGAGGACTTTTCTTGACTGCTGATCAGTGTCACGTTTCAGTCTTTTGGGGAGCCAGGCGTTTCAAACGGCCTCGTGATGGATTATGACGGGGGGGCGGGGGGGTTGACGGGTTCTTTGTTATTGTCCAGGATCTGTGAAGTACATCTGACAAGTTTAGT